AACTATTCAAGAATTAGTTGGAGAATATGCATTTTCCCCAGTCTCTAGGATCATGTGACTAAGGCAGTATCAGACTGAACCTCTATAACTTTGACACGTACAATCAATACTCTCAAGAAATAAAAGCATCTTCACACTAACAGTTAAATGTTATATAAATGACATATAAAAGAAGTGAACTTACTTTGCTTCTGTCTTTTCAGTTTTCCAAAGGCTTCTCTTCCCATCAGCTCTCCCGATGTTGTTTAATACATCAATGGCTGAAGAGCCCGGAGAACAAATGTGGGAAAAGAAGAAATTCTGAGACTCGAAAGGAAAGAAGTTTCACCTCTCACACACAAGACATTGAATTAACTATTGATGCAACGAATAAAGAGGATTTTACCCTGTTTCTTCTCCTTTTTGTCAACCAGCAGCTGATTCAGTCGTTCCTTCAGTTTGTTAAATTCTCTTTCCTTCCTTTTCATCTCGTGATTGTACTGGCTGGCCCGGCTTGCAATAATGTTCTGAAGCTTTTGAACCTAGGGGATTGTGAATAAAAGAAACTGTGACGTCTAATAACATTGGCACCCTTTCTCCTGAAACCCAAATACCAGCCATGAAAGCCACAGATTGGTCTCACACTGTCTGTGGCAGCACTTAATAAAAATACCTCTTCTTTTTCATTCTTCAGACAGCTCTGCAAACTTTTTGCTTTCAGCTGCAGCTGCCGTTCTCTCTCAAGAAGTCCCGTGTTTTCTCTTTTAGAGAGTTCGAGCTGCTCCTAAAAAATAATGCAATGGTCAGGGACTCAGTAAAAGACCAGAAGTGTTTTGGAGAGCTTAACAAAAGGATGCACAACACAATGTAACGTTGTTTTTTCAGAAATAAAAGGAAGAAACAAAACTCGAATGCCAATTCACCAACAGCACGTTGCTTTACTACAGATAATGCTACCTGTGTTTTTCAGGTGAGCTAGTGTACCTTCAGGCGAGTGATGGTGAGCTGCAGGTGATCGATACTGCTGCTAGATTTAAGCTGCTCCACTTCCATGCTTTCAAGGGCTCTGAGGCCCCGGCGCTGCAGCTGAATCAGGTCATACATGCAATTTAGCACAGCCACAATATTCAGCTCTGAGCTGTCGCCCGACTCTGTCCAAACTGGTGGGAGGCCAAGAGAAGATATTTCCTTTAAAGGCAGAGCAAAGGGAAAGGTGTGAAGGAGGACTGACACAAATTCTCTCTGTCTTGTGTCCCTGAAAACATTCATTCAAATAAAGATTTTCTTTAAAGGCTAATTTGTTTTAGCAGAGAAAAAAAAGTACAAGACAAACGCAGGAGACTGCAGTCGTGTACGCGTTTCAATAGAGTACCTAACAGCAGTGACAGCTGTGGTAATGTGCAAGGCTACCAACCTGATTGATGTGTGACAGACATTGTTGCACATTGTGCTCTGTGCAGAAGGTACTGAGCATGTAGGAGTTTCTGTGCAGCAGCAGTGATGATTGGCTAAACTGTCTCAAGGGGGATGCTCCATATTCAACAGAGCTGCTGCGACCGTCCTTGACTTGTGGAGAAAGAAAGAAGCCTGTTAAGTATTGGACATTACTCTGCGCTGATTCAGTGTCTAACAATACATTTATTAGGTGTCACTAAAAATGGCTTTTATCAATCGTATTTATCAATTAAGTGTTCTTTACTGCAAAGCTGAGGTCGGCATTCAGAACTGAAGGTACAACACTGCACTGATATATATTCAGTGGCCTTTAAAGACGTCAAAACTCACCCAGGGAGGACTCTGGCATGTTTGCAGTGCAGACCTCAGGCTTTGTCTCTGGATCATCTACTGCATTTGCAGGACAGGCAAAGTTTTCCACCTACGCAGCCTGCTCCTGAAATAGACGATCAGATTAACAGCAGCGATTCAACTCGTCTGGATTACAAGGATTTGGGAGGCAGTGGTGAGAGATGGAGGCATGAAGCTAGAGAGCACGGTCTGAGGATAAGTGATTTATTCACTAATCAGTGGCAACAAGCT